CGTCTTTGCTCCGTGCCTCCCTGGTCTGCTGGGGTGGGGGACCCCCCCCCAGCAGACCAGGGAGATGTGGAGCAGCTTTTCTCGCCCCAGAGGACGCAGGCGGTGGGACCATGGCGCATCTGGGCATCCCACCACTCCCGTCCTCCGGGGCGAGAAAAGCCCCATTCGTAACTGCGAATCTGACATAAGTCGGATCCGCGTAACTCGGGGACTGCCTGTATTGCACTGGACATGCTTGTCTCTTTAAAGCAAAGCGCCATTGCTGTATTTATGGTTAACCAACTATTTTCCTCTAAACAAAAGGCAGAGAACATGCTGTTCCTTTGGAAGAACCTACTTAAAATTCTAATAGATTCAGAATCTGGCATTTATAGCACATTGTTCCTGCTGTCTAGCTTATTATTACCAAGAGTTTCAGTACAGAGTGGGAGGCATGTACAGTACTGGAGAAAACATACTGAAGCATTTAGGCCTGTGAAGCAGGAAGCTCTTGATTTCTCTTCATTCAGTAAAGCATCAATTTCATCCAATGTGTTTGGAAGGTCCTGGAATGCCTACAGGAAGCAAAATAATCTATTCATTAGATAGTTTAATGTTGAGAGAGGCTTGAAAGAAGACTAAAAATAGGAAGAAACCAGACAACCAAGAACATTGCTAGTTAATAGATCACTTTACTAAGAAACAATCCATTTAAATTAAAGTGGCTAGATCAGTAGTGAGCAACCTGTGGCCTAAGGGGTCATGAGGCCCATTGGGTTCTAGGTGTGGCCCATAAGACATTTTGTTTACTGTTGCCCGTGTGCAGGGTTGCCAAATTCTGGTGCTTTCCAAGCACATAAGTTTTTTTCTTACCCGTATTTCTAATGTGACATGCACTTAAAGCAAAGGCACATTAAATGAGGTGTATGCTCATTGCACACAACACTGACTAAGAGCTATGTGCTCTCTCTGCATTTAATCAGAGAACTGCTATGGTTCAGTTGGCACACCCTGAAAATTCTAGGTACATAAGTACAGTTAGCAAAACTCCAAGAGATTATCTTGATTATGACAATCTTGCAGCCCACCAAGAGGAAGGAGGGTCACTCGTGCAGTCCACTCATTAGCCTAAGTTGCTCATCTCTGGACTAGATTCTTTCCTGACAAGTTCTTGGAGATGGAACTGGGGGTAGGGTGCAGTGAGGGGTGAAGAGGTCACGGGAAGCAAACTATGGCTCTCTCATTTTCTGCCTGTATAACCCCAACCCTGGTGCAGCTGCTCTAGCCTAAGATACCTGGCAATAGTCCACAAGAGCCCCACAAGTTGAAAAACTGTCAGGAGTGCAGTGATACTGCGGTCATCCACCCAGAAAGGGATGGCAGTATACGAGCTGGCTATGCCAGATGAGAGCTTCTTGATACAGGAGGAACACTCAGCTGGACAGACTGATCCAGGCACTGGTCCTTTCATGTTGCCTAAGCTGGGTCAGAAAGGAGAATCTGGCCTAAATTTTTCCCCCCTAAATTGGACATTTTGATTAGTTAACCTAATACATTATCCCCTCCCCCCGCATTGTGGATATAGAATAAGCTAGGAAAAAAATCTTTTTGTGATCACAGGATATATGTTTTCATGACAGCATAAAAACAAAAACAAACTACACTTAAGATACTATTTAGTTCCTAGAAGAAGAAGGGGGGGAGAGGGGCGGGGAAATGAAGGGAAGTAGTAGTTAAATTTATATAGCACCAACTACACAGACATGGTCCCTATTTGTAAGATGACAAAGTGCACAATGCAAATTTTTACATGAATAGTTCTTTATATTGAAGCAAATGGTAAAAACCTCATACAAAAAAGGTTTTGTGAGACTAAGTCTTATTTTAGAAAAAAATAAACAAATCACAAGGGTTAGATGGAGGATAGTAGGGGAAAAAAGCGAAACTTTTTTTGAGAAGTGCTTGCCAGACACACACACACTTTCTGTACAGAAGAGATATTAAGGAATATAGAACATAACAAGATAAAATAAAACTCAAAGGTCTATGTAGGGTGCAGGTGAAGAGATCAGAGACAAGATGAACATTCAAAAAAGCTTACTAGCATATATTTTTAAACCATTTATTTCAGGATGATTTTAAAGTCATAGAGAAGGCAAGGATGGTATAAAGGAGAAATCAAAGGAAAGCTAAGAATTAATAAGAACAAAGAATAGAGGAAAGGACGGACAAAAAGAAGGGATAAGTTGATAAAAACAAAGGGAAGGAAGGCTGTCGAGGAGGAACAATGTGGCCAGGAAAAGTAAGGCCAGCAGCAGAGGGACTATAGCAACTGGAATGGGTAGAAGATAGTACAAACAGCCAATCAGTAGACTGTCCGAAGCTTAGGTTATAAAAGGGTTCTACCTTCATTCAGTTTCTAAAATTTTAATTGGAGCTCAACATTTTTGAAGAATGGGCCACTTATCTAAACACAGTTTGATTTTCAAGTCTATTTACTCCCAATATCCCCTTTGAAAAATTTAGCATAATCACATACACAATTCATCCTAGGATAGAATATCTCTTTAAAATCAATACATTTTCAAGTTACAGCATTTTAAATATTTTACTCGCATAATGAAGTTTTTTCTTAACGTAGGTGGCCTCGACCTACTTTCAAAATGGTCTTACAAACTCCCAAATGAAGGATGTAACTATCCAGTAAAAAAAATTACCTTTGTAAAAATGTGGCCTTTTGTTTTAAACACTTACCATCTGAAAGTCTTTTGGAATTTCTTGATCAGGTGTGAGATTACATGCCTGTCTAGCTTTCTTCATCAATCCCTTGCACCTCTCCAAAAGAACACGTTTTCTTTCACCCAAGTCAGAAACTTGTTGCTAATATAAAAAGAGGGTTTATTTTAAAGAAAATTCCTTTGTCTTTGGTTACATAAACATTAAATACAAATAAAAAGCTATTTACTACCTTTACAATAATTAAAAAACTAAACATAATTTAAAATATTTGTTCTATACACCTAATCACTGACAGCACATACAAGGTGTAAGTTTAGTAGATGCTCTGTTTATGAACAAGTTTACAGCAAAATTATATAATAGATCTTTTTTCACTTTCAAAGTTTATATATTCTACTGGATCAAGTGTTTGTTTCACATTTTAAAAATATACTGACCGCTCGATAGAGGGGAAATGTGTTTAAATTATTCTGTCAATGTAATTAGATTATTCTTATCTTTGTTCTAATGAATAATACCAAACAAGTAGTAGTCATAGTTATAATTAAGACAAATGCAACTTCAATTCTTAAAGGTGTTTGAGAGTTTGGCATGCATTTTTTTTGTGACTGATATTTTCCATGTTACGTATCAATCAAAAGGAGAAGTTTTTCTTCCCAAAGCAAGTGTTAAAATATGTTCAAATTTTTAAGCTCTGCACTTCGGGGAAGGAGTGCAATTAAGTGCACAAAACAAATATCCCATAAATCTTGAGCAGAAATATTCACCTGTATAACTTGCAAAGATTTTAATCCAAGTGGTTCAGTATTTCGGAAGTTAACCTCCTTTTACCTGTTTCACTTTTTGTAAAATAAGAATCATACTTGTCTATTGCCTTTCAAAAGATGTTACGATACTTAATATATTTTTCTGAAGTGCTTCAATCTCTTCAGAAAAAGGTGCAATTCTTGACAGATGCTTGTCTAAACTGTTCTTAAAAATGTTCAATAATGGAGATTCCATAGTCTCCTTAAGCAATTTATTCCAATTTAGACCCAGAACTGAACTCTGCAGGACCCCATTCATTATGCCTTTCCAGTATTACTGAAAGTTTAATGACTATTCTCTGGGAACAGTTTTCCAACCAGTATTGCACCCATCTTATAGTAGCATCATCTAGGTTGTATGTTTCTAGTTTGTTAACGAGAAGGCAATGCAAGACCGTATCAAAAGCTTTATCACTCAAGACTTGTTACTGCTTCCCCTTATCCACGAGGCTTGTAATCCTATCAAAGAAATCTATCAGGTTGGTTTGACATGATCTGTTCTTGACAATTCCATGCTGACTGTTACTTATTACCTTACTATATTTTAGATGTTGCAAATTAATTGCTTACTTATTTGCCCCATTATCTTTCTGTGTATAAAATGTCAATTTTCTGTCATCTCTGGAAATTCCAAGGCTAGAAGTCCCTTATGGAAGATGGGACTCTCAACTTTAAAAATGCACAAAGTCTCCATTTCTAACCCTGCAGGACTGCATAAAATAGGCCCTAAAGTGATAATTTTAAGCACAGAAAACCTATGATAGGCAAAGGACTGAATTTTGACTTTCCTGGGCCTTGGAGAGCTGTAATTTTGGGAAAACACATGTATTTGGGAAGAAGAAAAAAAGGAAACATATTGGGGCAAACTGATTATTTTTTTTAAAACAGCTGTTTGAAGCTGTTCTGGGCTGGAAGCATTAAAAAAAATACCAGGATAAATGGATTAGTGAGTAGGTGAGGCATTCAAATGTGTGTAATAAATTCATCACAACTGATATTTATTATATGGCTATTACATCCAGAAGATAAGATGGATATTTTCTCATTCACACTTAAGTATTTACAAATGTAACCTTCTACAGACCAATCCATTTAGGATGCTTTAACTATTTCATGGAAACACTAACATTGCGGCAAGTACAGTTAGTTATATAAGAGATATGGGAGTGCCCTTCTCAGAACAGGGAAATTCTATCTGGAATATATGGGTTTTAGAGGGGAAATTCTACCTAAAGAAGAAGGCTTGCAGTGATTACTGTTATCCCAACTGACAATATAAGAACTAATTCAGAAAGAGAGATTAATTTGGATAGTGAAGGAGATAGTTCCACTCTAGCATAGAACTAAGGCATAGCTACCAAGAGGCATGCTGATACTAGAACCCTCTGATGTTGTATATTCATAAGTAATTTGTATTCTTTTGTATTCATAAGCAGTGCAATTGGTTTTTGGGGGAAATGAGAAACTAGTCAAAAAAATATAGTAGCCAGTAGCCAATATTTTCCCATGAAAGTTTGTTTGAATGCATTCACAGTGACAGCAGTTAAATAATTAAAGACGGGATATTCATAAAGAAGGAAAACAGCATTTGCATTTTCTTCAAACTTGGCCTAAAAGAAAAAAATTACGTACATACTGAGTTTAATACCAATTGTTTAAAAATTGCACCAAATGAACGTAAAAATTATCAAAGCAAGACAATTAGCAAGTCTCTTTCAATCATCATAAACACAAAGGCGACTGTGCCAATTATCTAATGAGCAGATGGGGCTAACAATCCTCCCTACTGTTCAATATGGGTCATAAACACACATTTGCTTCTCATGCTCATTAGACAAATTAAATACAAAAAGTTGTTAAAATAATACTAAGGTTCTGACTTGAGCTGCCATGACAAATAAAAAAACCCACAAATCTGTTGCTAACTAACATGACACATTCTGAAGCATACATGTTGGGAAGGAAAATGCCTTTCAATCCAAGTGTCTAAATTGCACCCAATGTGCTGCTATTCCCACGGAATCCTCGAGCTGACAACAACATATGCAGCCCTCTTTCTTCAGGAAGAGAGAATGAACTGGATTTTGAGGGCACTTTAAGTCTTACAAAAATATTTTAAAGATAATTTTGAATAAGAGAAACATTATTAATAAATGCAATGTTAGCAAAAGTACACTGTTTCTCCCAGGGGCACCATTAGAAAATGTTGACGTGGTATGTAGAACTTAACCATTCTTACTAACTCAGGACAGCACCACTCTAGTTTGGCCCACTGACCTGACCATAATCACAGCAGAACTACGGGATCAAATTTCAGCAAATAGTATTGTGAACCCACTATGCAGTGTTCCAGTGTCACTTAGCACCAAACACATGAGCAGTTTTACACCACCATCTGTGAAGTGTATATAGCTGCAGGCACCACTGGGTTGTGGGGTTTTTTGGGGTTTTTTTTGGTCCCCTGCTCTGGTCTTTGTAGGTTTTAATTTAGTTTCTCTATATAATTTCTGTAATACTTAATACTAATCACTTCTTGTGTGCACTAGTCTCTGTACCTTTGCCTGCAGTTTAATATTTCTGAACTGAAGTGTTGGGACTCCTCTTGCATTCCTTATACACCCAAATTATCACTGCCAGGAAACGGAGTTTTGTACTTGCAGGATCAGGCCACAAATTAGGAAAGTCCTCATGTTTACCATATATGCTAAATTCCTCCACAGAATTGGTTTATGCGGAACATTTAGCACAGCACTTTTTAACAATTGAAAGTCACAGTACAGGAGAACTGGCAATGAGGACGGAACTTGCTCCCACTTACTCCACTAAGCCTCCCCAAGGCAGAATTTTAATAAAATGGATAAGCAAAATAGAGCTATGGAGAAACTTTTGTCCAGATCTTTGTTTGGGCTCTGACATGTTCCATGTGGATGAACCTACTACCAAATCTCAGCTCTGGGAGAGTGGTCCCTCACTGAACACTGTTTACAATGCACATCTTCACAGAAGAGGTAGCTATATTAATCAGCATAAGAAGTAAAGCTCCTTTCTATTTGGAAGGGAAGGGGTCTGGAGAATTGATATAAGCTTCAGAAGGCACAAAAACCTTAGCAACAGGAATAGATATCTCCAGGGGTCGACAAATTATGGAAAATCCTACTTGCCAGACAAAAAAGGGACTCACCACCCTCCCCCCCCAAAAAAGTGGTTTTTTAATGGCATAAATTCCTAATAAGAATAAGAACAGTAATTATTAATAAGTTATTAATAAATATCACCCAGGTTATTAATAAATATCTTATAAACCTCTACCTTTTCTCTCTGCTACCATATCTCCTCCCCTTGCTCCATCAGCTCCCCTGGTGCCTGCTGCCCCCCAACCCCTCACCCTCTGCTGTCCTGACTCCAGCCCTTCTCACTGCCCTCAGCCTTCCTGAGACCTGCCCCCCTCCTCCAGCCCTTCTCTCCGCCCTGTGCCCACTCCTCCAGTAGCCCCACTCTGATCGTGTGAGGTACCCCTCCTCATCCCCTCTCCTAAAACCTCCCTCTACACACGTGCTCTGCCTCTCTCCTCTGGTGCTGGTCCCTCCCTTGCAGGTGTCTGCCCTTCTGCTTCACCCCCAGAATCCCCTGGCACCTGCACCCTCCTGGTGCCTCCCCCTTCTCTCACTGCTCCTTCCCCCTTTGCTCTCTTTTTCCCTGATACCCACCCCCTCACCACCCTCTGCCCCCGTTCCCCTCATGTCCCTGTGCCCTCACAGATGCCTTGCTCCATCTCCACCTTCCTCATGCCCACTCCTTCTTTCAAGCCTTCTCCCAGCACCTCTCCCTACCCCTCTAGCCCCAGTGCCCTTCCACTCTCCTTTCCCAGCATCACCCTGTCCCCCCTCCCACTGACACCTCCCCTCCTGCCCTTTTCCTCATTGTCTGCACTTGGCCTCCTGGCATTTCTCTCTCCTGCACCTCTGTCCCTTGGTGCCTTCCCCTTTCTTCTTCTTTTCCTGACCTCCTCCCATCAGCACAAGCCCCTTCCCCATATTTTTCCTCTCCCCTTCCCACAGCCCAGCCCCTTCCCCTTCCCAGGGGCCAGCTCTAGGTTTTTTGCTGCCTCAAACAAAACATTTTTTGTCCCCCCCCCCTTTGTTGTTGTCTTTTACGTATGTTTGCATTTTGCAATGGTTTTTTTTGTTTGTTTTCTTTTTTGTCCTGGCATTTTAGCCCTATAAATAACAAATAGCATTTTCATTCGTTTTTTTCCATAAAGGCAAAGACGCTTCAAGTGAACTCCCCCTTTCACTCGCTGCTGGGTCACAGCAGCCTTTTCCCTCAAAACATTTTTTGTCCCCCCCCCCTTTGTTGTTGTCTTTTACGTATGTTTGCATTTTGCAATGGTTTTTTTTGTTTGTTTTCTTTTTTGTCCTGGCATTTTAGCCCTATAAATAACAAATAGCATTTTCATTCGTTTTTTTCCATAAAGGCAAAGACGCTTCAAGTGAACTCCCCCTTTCACTCGCTGCTGAATCACAGCAGCCTTTTCCCTGCCCTGTCCAGCCCCTCCCTATGGGCAAGCACCCTTCACTCCCGACCCACAGGGGGAGCAGGGTGCAGGGACAGCACAGAGCCAGAGGGGTGCAGGGAGCAGTGGGGAAGTACAGGGATGGCGCGGGGAACGGGAGGCACAGAGCCAAAGGGATGCAGGGATCGGGGGTAGCAGGGTGCAGTGGAGGCACGGGGAATGGGAGGGGCAGAGGGATAGGGGTCTAGGGGCAGTGCAGGAAATAGGCAGCACAGAGCTGGGGGGGCAGAGATCAGGGGGAGCAGGGTGCGGGATGTAAGGGCAGCGAGGAGCCAAAGGGTCACAGGGAAAAGGGAGAGCAGGGGAGGTGTGGGAAATGGGCGGCGCGGAGACAAAGTGGGGCTAGGGCCGTGGCAGGACTGGAGCCGGTGGGGCGGACCCTGGCTGTGCCACGCGCCGCAGCCAGTTCCCAGGGACATGCGGCCAAAGCAAAGCTGCCGTGGCCCTTTAAAATCAGCGGGGCCAGGTCACACCAGCAGCCTGGCATCCCTCCCCGCCTCCTCGCGCCGGAGCTGCACGCAGGCAGCCCGGTGGGAAGAATCACCGCACTTCTCCCTTCCCAGCGGCGCTGTGCTCCTCCGCCACCTGGCGGATATGATGGGGCCGTGCCGCCCGTAGTGCGGGCTTCTGCCAGCCCATCCCAACGGCCCACCTGGCCAATCCGCCCCTGCACTTGCCAGCTGGAAAAATCTACTCACCACAGGCGAGTGCATTTGTTGAGCCCTGGATATCTCTATTACTAAGAAATTAAACAGAAACTGCCCATTTCCAAGTGGGGAAGCCTCCAAGCAAAAAGTGTGTTTTCATGTTGATACACTGAGAAATAAAAAACATAGCTTACCTCTAAAGCTCTTAGTTGTACAGTTGCTGCTTTATAATCAGATTCTAGTCTATTCTTCTTGGAAGTCACTGTAGTGCTCTCAAGAACCAAATCCACTTTGAGGATGTTCAATGTTATGCAGTTCTACAGAGCAAACACATACACACACATATTCACAAACCTCCTTTGTCATGAAACACTCAAAACTGATACACTGTCAGCAGCATCAGGCTTTAAAAGCATTATAAAAATGATATCTTATAAAATTTTTGGACTCCAGATTCAGCTCGCCAGCAACAAGGTTTTTTGGTTTTGTTTTTCTTGCATAGGAGACTTCTCGTCTCTCCCACACAAGGAACCTAAACATCTGATTTGTTTGTAGCAAAAGCGCAGCTTTGCTGATGCGTGAGATGAGCAACTAAATTAACATTACTCACAGCTGTGAAGATTAGGTAAAGAACATCTAGGAAAATCCTCTGCTTCAAAGTTACAAAAATTGTGAAGTAATATTTTAAAAAACCTAAGTCACGTTACATTATTTGAAAGCTGTGAAGTCTTAAAAGGTTACAACTATTTAACAATAATTAAAGTTCTGTAACAAAAGAGGGAAAGAAACTGTTAATTCTTTTAGGATTCACCCATGCCAAAAAAGAGTTCACAGTCAATTCTATGCCTCCGGAGCGTGGTAATTTGGCTGCTAATTTAACTCTTCCGTTTGAAACACTGTAGTGAGAAGGTGGTGTGACTAAACTGTGGTAAAACCAATGATACATTCCTGTCATACTCAATTAACTATTATTATTCTTCCATGAAGCTGGGCAATAAAATACTTTCCAATATGTACTGCCAAGGAACAGAAAGCATATGAGAAAGCCAGTTTTCTCCACAGAGATTGTACACTGGCCAGTAACTGTATATGCCACTTTAACTGTGCTGTGTATGAGAAGCAAAGGAACACTAACTGCACCCAAGAAGTATGTATGCTGACTGATCAACAATCATCCTAAAGTGTGCTGTTGCTCTCCTAAATGGATATTTTGGAACTAAATTTTTGTTTATAAAAATGTATTGTGTTTAAAAAGTGGTGGCTTATTAACAGCATATTACCTATACAAAATTACTTTTTAAAAGTAATTTGCAAACCCTGGGGGCACATCAGGCCTTAAAATTGTTTTTTTTCTGCAAGTCTCTGAGATTTTCAAAGCTGCTTCAGCCAGATGACCATCTGTGAAAGATGCCAACCACTACCATTCAAGGATTACCAGTTTACACCAGGACAACTCATCTGTTTGACATGGTAAACAGAAGTTTCTTTTAATGCCAGCTACTCAGAGCAGTAGAACCAGTGTTTTTTCACAGGCAACACCCAACACTGACTGAGATCAAACACTTATCAAAACACTAGGGGCCACAGAGGGAAGATAAAAGTATGAAGTAGTTTGAAGAAGTTCAGAATATCCCCAAAGGCACCAGGAAGGTTTTTACATAACACAGAAGACTATTTAGCACAAACAGCATCCAAAAGAGTCCTGGGAACTGAAGAAGATAACTAAGGAGTTGGCAGAATATCTAGCGTGATTATTAAATCTTAAGGATTTTAGTTTATGGATATCTACCTTTCCCAAAGTGTCCATTACTATTTATATAACAAAGGTATATACAGTGTTTTAAAATATGTCTGATTCCAAATTCTAAGGAGTTTAAAATGATTAAAGGGCCACAGAAAAATTAAAAACTAATCAATCAGTTCTTTAAAACCTGAATTCAACATAATTTCAGCTAATGCACCTGACCCTCCACCTCTTGATTTTTTGTGATTTTACAATTAAAAATAAGGGCAGGGTATGTCTCAGGTGCTCTATGAAAAACCCACCGGAAGTAGACAAATTAACTATGGAAACAAATAAAACGTGCACAAGTACCGTCAAAGACAAAATAAACATACCCGAAAAAATGACAGCAATTTTATTCTTTTTTAATGATAAAAGAAGGTATTTCTTGTAGGACCAAATATATTTTCATATAGCAACAGTAAAAAAGAGTTTTAAAGAAAATAAAATTAATTGAAAAGTGTATAAGGTGATAGAAGAAATGTGGTGAATACATTTGAATACTGCACATTTATTTTTTAGGCAATTTCTTAGGCCGGAAGCCTTTTCAGACAGCAAGATGGCAGCAGAATTAAACTTAACCCTTAACAATAAAAACATGAATTTCAAAATATCTCCCACTATTAAGGCAGCTTCCCCTCCTTTGTATTGTTTTGAAAACTATAATAAGCCTTTCATGGCAAGGAAAAATGTGTATAAAGCTAAGAAGAATCTATACCTTTATGAGTTGCATTAATTCTGTAACAAATTTTGCTTTTTGGATATTAATTTCTTTGATCCTGGCATTTGTTTGTTGAGACTCCTCTTCTAGATTGATGGTATCTTGCTCCATCTGTTTCAAACTATGAAAGAAACCAATTTCTTCTTATTACTGATTAAATAATGCTGAGATACTCAGGTTCTTAATCCTAAAGGATCCATCACAAATAAATACACTGAAAATTAGAAAAGGTGCAACTGCCCTTATTAAATAAAGAAAAAGAGGAATTGATTTTTGTCTTGATTTCCTGCCCCTTCCTTCCTAAATGAGCTTGTAAAAAAATTCAGCAGAAAATGTTATCTGTAAATGGAATCTCATTTTTAACTATGCTTCTAAAACAAATCTTACATTCCTCTAGTCCCTTTCTTTATTGCCATGGTCACCAACCAGGAGGCTCAACCAGTCGATTGCGAGGCTTTGGGGGGGTCCCCTTCGCTCCCCCCCACCTCCAAGATGAACGCTGATGCTACCTCCAGGGACAACGGAGGTAGCGTGGGCTTCCTGTGGGTTGGGGTAAAAGTTCTGCAGCTGCATGCCAGGCCCTAGAAGCGCACAGGCTGCTCTCCCCCAGCCGGCACGGTACCTAAAACACCGGTCTGTCGCGCGCTGGGGACTTTGTTCCCCTGCTGCCTTCCTGCGTGCAGGAGAGGGGATGGGGGTCTGGGACTGCGCCGGTTCCGGCCGCTTGGATGGCATGAACATGGGGAGCGGAGGAAAATAGCATGTGCGGCCCGAGTGGTTGGGGCTGGCGCAGTCCATGACTCCCCCTCTCCTTCCTCCCACGCTGGAAGGCAGCAGGGGAATAAAGTCCCCAGCACACCGGCTCCAGCTGCTTGGGCAGCGCGTGCTGCTATGAGGAGTGGAGGAGCAAGCTGCGAGCTGCCTCAGGTTACCTGCCCCTCTCATAAATAAAAACAATGCTGAAATCTTTTGTGTTTGAAATAATATTTTATTTAAAAATAAAGCCTGGCCAACAAGCCCCCAATTGGGGCCAAGCCCCATCTGGCCACAGCATCATAACACTCT